GTGTCCACCTTTGGCGGGATCATTATGGAACATTTGACTGACACTTTCCTAGTAGAGGCAGCAGGAACAGCCTTTGAATAAGGTAATAAGAGTGTTGCTTCATTAGATGTAAATGAGATTTTTAAGACTCTAGTTAGAGATGTCAAGGCACTCTGAGAAAGTTCAGTCTCTTGATCCATTCTAATTTTGACCAGAAAGTTGCAAATTTAAGTCCTTCCGGTCCTTCCTTTGCAACTTCTAATCTATCATCGTGCTAGCATTGAGGAGAACAACGAAATGAATGGTTCTGACTGTAATTTAAATTTGCAATTTAAATCCTTAACCTACTTGTTTGCCTCCATGACTCCTGTTTCATAGAATATACTTTGACTTCCAGGAGAAGAAAATGGATGAGGGTATAAGTGACTGTGAATTTATTTGAAAGGAAGTATGATGTGCCAGCTTCTCCTGATTAACTCTTGTAAATTTGGGGGGATAAAGTAGCTCACTTCTCAGCATCCAGCTCGGACCGATTTTTTTCCATTAAGGAACATGTCCTTTTCCTTTTGGTAAGATGTAACTACATTGCTAGTAGATGATGCCTTTTGAACTGTGGGCCCTAGACTAGACACTGGGCAGCTCTTCTCAGGTGCAAATAACGGTAGATGAAGTATTTACTACCCAAGAAGTTGAAGTTCGGTAGTGACCAGTTAAATCTTTTCTGGCTCTTTTCTGCTACAGGTCTTCAGTATCCTGTCTATGTGAATTTTCTGGAAAAGCCTTAAAAGCTGCCCTTAGACTTTAAATGACAGCCGCACACTAGAGCCATTTTGTTACTAGCACTGTATAAATGCATAAAAAAAAAAGAAAGTCACTCTTCCCAAACGGTTAAAATCCAAAGCATCCCCTGTGTGTGAGAATTATAAAAGTATGGGAAAAGCAAAAAGTTATTCTACCAAATCATCCTGCAGCACTTTCCACATGTTTGATTTCCTTTTTTTTTTTTTTTAATAAAAAAAGAAAAAGGGAAAAAGTTTTCATTCTGTAAGACACACCAAACAGAAGGCAAAGGTGATGTTTTATCTAAGTTGAGTATTTCACAGACAAGCATGGGTTGGAGCCACTCAAATGCAGCCAAGTTAATTAATGATTACACAGCTGGAAAACTTCTATCATCTCACCACAATTTACAAAATTAATTCAGTATGAGAACCACAGCTGCACAAACCCTAATCAAGGATATTCAAGCACAGAGCATGAAAGGTGTTGACAGCAAGTGTTTTAATATATTAAATAAACATTTTTAAAGCCCCTCTTCTAATCAGCCTGGGTGAGCATAGTTGTCTGTTACGTTTAGCTTTCAGTTTCTGACATTTTTCATCTCAAGCATAGGGCATAAAATACCCCTACTGAGTTGAGATTTGGATTAGTTGTACAAGCCTACTGAATATAAATGAATATAAACATGGAACTCATTTTTACCAGTTAGGTTATCACTGATGCTTGATATATCCTACTAGTGTGAAAGCTTCTCACTATTTGACTACAGTCTTGTTTGGTTTTCATAGTTTTCAATTCTGACAAGCAAATTAGCAGTGATTTTAATATACGTATGGTTCCACTGAAACCAAAAGAAGTCAGTCAAGTATTTAAAGAAAGCTGAGGTAGGAATAAGATTACTGTTTATCTGTAATAAAATGTTATTTTCTGATACCTCTTACTCCTCTATTTCCCTTGCATATTGCATACCTTTGAATGGTGTTGTCCTGCATTACCAGTGAAAAATAAAACCATTCCACCATTACTGCTCCGTGAACAAAATGCTGTTCCCTATATGTATTCGCAAGATCAGTTTTTACTGTGATCAATCACATCTTTTCAATGACATCAGATTTTAAATTTCTTTATTCAAACAGGAACAAGATCTTTTATGGCTGCTCTGGAATGCACTTAGCCTGAGTTTACATCAATGTAGCTTAATCAATTTGACTCGAGCTAAGTCAGTGTAAGCTAACAGTTCGGAATATCCAGAGAAGTTTTTACATCAGTCTAAGCTGATTTCAAAACTTGCTTTACAGAAAAGTAGTGTCAGTTTTATATGTGTTCATTAGATCTGCAGTTTTAATCTAATCCCTTTCAGGAAAAAAGGTTTGCAAATACTGTTGAGAAAGCAATAGGAAACAGTCCAGGGCTAGAGGAAACTCAGAAACAAAGCAATATATTGGGGGTCTTGAACGGCCTTGCTTCTGCATGTGGCTTGTCTTGTACAGTCACCTGTAAAGCCCGTTGGTTCTACAGCACTGCATAATACCCTTTTGTTGTAAAATAAATTAAAAATAAAAGGCGGGACACACATGGATGACAAAACCCGCAAAAGTGGAATGTGTTGTTCTGGAAGCTTCTTAGAGTGGTTATAGGACACGGAGGTTTTGAACCATCTGAGAGCACTTATACCACATCAGTGGAAATACTCGCTGCCTCAGAGTCTGCCTTGAATGCTGTGATGTGGAGCTGATTATACGGTATGTGAAAGAAGCGAAGTTAATAAAATGGCATCCTGGGATAGAAGGGCCCCAGTGAACAGCCTCCTTCTCCGCCCTCCTCTCTTCTCTTTTCACACTGAGAGAAAGAGGAGGCACTGCTGCTGTGAGAGAGAGAACTCCCTCGGCATTGAGATCAAGCAGAAAGAAGGAAGATCTCGACGTTTGGATTCCTGGCGCTTGCAGCTATGCAAACAGATGTAATAAGAGGAGATGAAAGGCTTTACTTGAACTGTTGCTTGAGGGCAGATATTTAACATTTCTCTTGGTAGAGCTATGGTTTTCGAGAGTTGCACACTGGGTAGCAGGTCTGATTGCTTAGAGCTGAGTGGATGAAAAGGTGGTTTCTTAACTTGCAGGAAGTAGTGGGTGAGATTCTGTAACAAACCTGGAGGTTTGGTAACTGTTTCTGTTGTGATCTGTTTGTCTTATGGCGACAAGGATTCTGGAGATTTAAGGTATTTGGGATTCCTGTATAGCTCAATTTCTGTGTCAGCTTACAGCTTACCTTAACCTGCAGGGATGAAGGATCATTAAAGATTTCCTTGCTTGTTACAAGAGTGAGAGAGAGGGGTTAAATACAGTGTGGAAAGCTACCAGACCCACCTGTGTAACTGTTTCCTACAAACAATTACCTGTTGTTATTTTGTGCCTTTTTTCACTTCACTGGAAATTAGCAAGAATGGATTTTCTGAAGTCAAATCCTTCAATTAAAAGCTGGCATTTACTGATGCTCCTGGAGGATCACCTTCCTTAGGCAGCACCGCTCACTATTTTTAAATCAGATATGGTGGCTTTGATAAATAACCTTTGACATATCTTCCATTCTGCTCAGACTTCTGCATGTGGAAGGGGAAACTGTCCTGTGTTATCATAGGCACAGCAGATAGATATCAGGATTAGATCTAGGACCATTTAATAGAGCACTGAGCTTCAGTGTCGTTTATGTGGATCCTTCAGCTCTTCTCAGGTAAAAGAGAAAAACTGAGCGAAGGTCCATCCCCATGTGAGATATAAAACTGTGTTTCTGTTCTGCAGCTTGCAATGGGAGTATGTAGATACCTAAGGCTCTCAGCCCATTAAGACATGCACAGACTTTTTTTTTTTAATAAATGAGATTGGACATTCCTCAATAAAGGGGACTTTGTCATTTGATTTTGGCTGGCTGGTGCTGGGAATGGATTTGGCGTGATCTATCATGCCCACAGTTCTAATGCAAATTCAGAGGTTATTTCTCCTTTGGTATGGTGGTGGCACTTAAGATCAAATCTGAACACAGCAGGTGCAATTCTCACTGTTTCATTGACTCTGTGTGCCAGTTCCTACTTTCTAGACTACAGTAATAAGCAACTTGCTTTAATGTTTATTTTATGTTTATGTTGTCTCTAGAAAGCTATGATATGATGTCTTTGGAGGGAGATGTTATTAATTGTATAGTAGTTTCCTGAACCTTAATTTCTGATCTATTTTTGCAGGGACTAAAACTTTACTATATACTGTGGTCTGAACTGAGATAGTTGTTCGTGAGTGTTGTTTTAGAATTTTATTTTATTTTAGGATGAGCTCAAGTTTTTATGACTGTTGGAACTCTTGGCAGAAAGTACAGGCACATGAAAATTATGCCCATGATATTCCATTTGTCTCATCATTGTATAGATACCAGTTTCCTGCACTGAGCCATGTTCAGCTGTGGTGAGCTGTCACACAACTGAATGTTTCAATATTGGAGATAGTTGAGTAGAGTTAGTGCATCTTCCAATGCTAAGGCCTAAGCAGAAATGGTAGTTTCTGCCTTGACAGGCTTCTGTATAACAAAGTCTTTCCCAAGTACGCGACTGCTGCGATGCAGAGCACACTCAATTCTGGGTACTGAGATTCTAAAGACAAAGAATATTTTAGACCATTTCAATATTGGTACAGGAAATGCTGCTCATCTTAAACCACAGGGAAAATTGATCCTGTAGCTCATCGTAAAAAGTGGTTCTGATTAGATAAGACAAAGCCAACCAGGTTGCTAGGGGGTATTTTGGGATATGGAGAGGTATAATAAAGACTGCAAGATGAACACATTTCCCAGTCAGTCTAAGTTTCAGCCGTGCCTACAGTTCATTCAAACTCTGCGGAGTACGCATTAGATATGAGGAGTGTGAAATACACAGACAGGTTTTATTTAAAAAATAAATTCAAAAAAAATTGGGTGGTTTGCGGGTTTTTTTTCCTCTTTTATATGGGGAAAAAAGGAAGTTAGTCTGAGTTGGCAGTCCATTCATATTTAGAATCACTTTGCTTGCTTGAGCGTCTTTGACATACGGTCCCCCATAGCCTTACAGTGAAAGGTTAAAAAAAAAAAAAATTGTCTCGATTTAGTGTGTATAGACATTGCCTCGACAATGACATTGTTCATCCCAAGGAACATCCTCATGTGGTTATCCCTCTGCTTTCTCTGATGGAGGCTCCATTCTAACTCTGTACTTCACATGGTTGCTCTGAACAGAAGTGGCAGGTGGGAAAATGAACACATATTCTGTCAAAGGGCATCTGGTCTGGGAGTGAGCAGACTATGCTCTTTTTACCACCAGCAAGATAGGTTTATTCACAGCATGACTCTTCTGAGGTTAATAAGGATGGCTGTAGAAAGCTAGACTCTAATTTGAGGGTTTTTTGATTGACTCTTGATGATATCTCATGCACTGGTCAGTAGCATCCAATAAATGGCAGGGACTTCTGACCTTCCTTCCCTTTCTTGTTAAGTAATTTCAGCCGTATAACAGCAATAAGACCAGATAGGCAGTGAATTTCCTGGGTGATAATTGCATTTCTTCAGTGGCTCAGATCTTCACCCTGCAGCATCCAGCCTCGCAGCATACAAGCCACGTAGCTAACTCCATTTTGCAGTCTTTTGGCACCCGAGTGCTGCACTTGACTACTTCTAGGGTAAGAAGAGCACAATATTATGCTGGTGTAATGACTCTGGATTTAAACAGAGAAGTGAGAAGTAGATATGTCTGATTTGATGTATTGGCCTGCTGCCAAATTGATATCGTGAATTTTCACTTTAATGTGCTTTGAAATCTCCCTCAATAGGCTTTCCTTCAACTATCTAGAAAGTAGCAGTAATTAAAGGGATTACTTATTAATTTTTGCAACTTGTTAATGAGGACTCCATCGCTATCATAATTATCTCAGTCCAAGGTGATAGTGAGCTGACAGAGCACCTTTTCCCTCTAAATGAGCATCCTAAAACCACCCTCAAGGCTTTGAGGCTTTATTAGAATACAGATTGAAACAAACTGTAGTAGGAAAAAATCAGATCTGGAAAAGGCAGAATAAAGGGTTTGACATCAACCTTGCTTCACCAAGATTGTGTTCTTCAGGCCTGCTGTCATCCAGCAGTTCTATAGTGGCTTCTTGAGTTGCAAGAAACTTCTTAAGGTCCTAGTGTGTTTCTAGGAAAAGCTTTTGGGTTTTGGTGGGGGGGTTTTGTCCAGTGCCTCTGAGATACGGGTTTATGTCTGCTGCCTGCTCTCCCAGGAGTCTGCGTGCTCCGTGCTGGCGGTGTCCCTTCCCACGCACGCTGCGCAGGAGGTTGTGCCATCCCAGACAGCTTGCAGTGCTTGGAGAAGGAGCAGTGTCACCTTCCCCTCTTACCCAAAACGTAGCAGTGTGAGGAGACAAACGGGCAGCCACGCTCTGCTTACAGAAAAAGGCTGCTGTGAACAGACCAAAACAGTTCCCTTCCATCACAAACCTGTATTGTGACAATTAGTCCTGGTTGACAACAGCCATCTACAGATATTCTCTATGTCCTTAAATATTTTCCCTTGGTCCAATGTTAATGTGATAAAATATGTTCTGGTATGCTGAGATTACAAAAGACCAATTTTTTTACCTCACTTTCTACATAGGGATTATTTTTTCTTGAGGGTCATTTTACTGTGAATGACTTGAGGCAAGTGAAATCATTATTTAAAATAGAAGAAAGGTTAAAAAAAATTACACTCCTGTAAAAATTAACATAAATGGTTGTGCCTGCTTAAGTTTTTTTAATTAAAAAAACAACCAAAATAATAAATGGCCTCACCTGAAACCTCTCATTACAGACAGTAGCATTTACCACATCACTAAATCGCAGAATAGTTAAGCCTCACACAAAACCGAAATACCAGAGTATGATTTTTTTATTATGTAATCCTAAAGCATATGTTAGCAAATTTGTGGTTATTTCTCTCACGACTTTTTTTTTTCCCCCTCATATTTTTGGATACTGGTTGCACGGTTCGATTTTTTCAGTTACATTTGTTTACAAAAACTAATTAGACTTGTTGCTATCAATAGTCTCTAACAGAACTCTTAAGAACAAACTGCATGGCAAATTGACACGATGTCCTTGTTAAATCAACTCCTGCTGAGTGGGTATGATTTACATACTGATTCCTTCACTTCCTTGATTGCCTTTTTGCAGTGAAATAGTGGGTGGGGAACAGTGGGGTCAGAGGTGTGAAAGAAGGGAATATCGTGTCCTCCAAGAGACCCTGTGTTGGTAAAACAAGTTTCTCAAACTTTGCCCTTGAGCAGTGTGTGCCAGGCCAGGAAGGTCCCCATATGCAGCAGGACAATGGGCTCCTCACCAGCACTTGGGGTGAGGGAAGGCAGCTGCAGGGTGGCTTTGTGTCCCATCACTGAAGTCTCTGGGGCTGCAGTTGAAGACTTCCCTTTCCTTTCTTCACAGCTCGTCCGCTACAGCTCGGAAGGTGTCCTGCAGCTGGGGCCGCTGGGCTCCACAGCCTTTCTGCCTGACTCCAAATGCCTTGTTGACGACGGGAAGGGCAGGACACCAACTCTGAAGAAGTGTGAAGATGTCCTGAGACCAGCACAGAGGTTCTGGGATTTCACACAGGTATGGAAGAGCTCAGGGAGCCTCACAGAGATAAATTGGAGAGGAATGCTGCTCTAGAAGATATGTAATGAAAAACAAGGGTGTCTTTAGAGGGCTATTCTAGGAATTCCCCCTTATGCCTTCTAGAAATAGTCAGCTATGTTTTCCACAGGTCACGTGCTATCCAGGAATTTTCTTATATTATTACTAGGAATTTTGGGGTACACTTTATAGGAATTTTTAGTTATCCTTTCTTGGAATATTCTCAGTTTCTGTAGTGATTGTCAAGAATGTACTTGTTGTATGGGGGGTTTTTTTGGTTTTTTTTTTGTCTAGGAATTTTTGGGTTTAGAATTTTTCTAGGATTTTTCTAGCATCATTCTAGAAATTTTTAGATCTAGAGCTTTCAAATAATTTTTAGGAGTTTTGAAGTTATTCTTACAGTTTCTAGTATCTCCTATATCTTGGGTTCTGTAGGGATTCTCTAGTGCTCTTTCTAGTGATTTCTGGGAAATTTTCTAGCAATTCCTAAATCTAGAATTATCAAGGAAATGCTTTGGCACTTTGTGTGGATTATCTGGTTTCTTCTAGAAATTTCTAGCAATTTCTAAGGACTTAGATCACTTTCCAGGCATTTTATAGTGCCTTCTAGGGATTTACAGGTCTAGCACTATTTTTCTTCTAGTCTTTTCACCTTTTCTATTCCTTCTCCTAATTTTTCTTTTCTTTTTTCTTAGAATGGCCCAATCATCAGCAGAGACACTGGCCGTTGTCTAGAAGTGGAAATGTCAAAAGATGCAAATTTTGGGCTCAGATTAGTCGTACAGAGGTGCTCGGGGCAAAAATGGATGATTAGAAACTGGATAAAACATGGCCGGCATTGACTGCTGGGGCTGAGAAGCTGCCCCTCCTGCTCAGTGTGCCATATCTTGCAAGGCATTTGTCTTAAAGCAAATTAGTTTGAACAGGACTTGACTCTCAAGAGTCCTCCATAGTTGGGCATTCAAAGGAAAAAAGAAGAAAAAAGAAAAGCAGACGCATACATGCCCCGTTTGACTCCCTTGCTCTGACAGATGACCTGGGAAGCTTAACAATGGTTTTCTGTGGATTTGGAATTCTTGTGAAGATCAGAACACAACAGAAAAGTGGGTTCCTTAAGCTCTCCTAGAGGAATGTGTAGACGGATGTTTCTATGATGAGTTCAAAGGAGAGATCCCAACACTGCCTCATAAAGAGGGTTCTCTGATGGGTAGCTTTTTAGCTTTAAGTTATTGACTGGTGCACAACTTCTATGGTGAATAATCATGTGCCTTTTTTATTGTACTTCGTATAAAAGGGGACTGGAAAAATCCTACCTTTTCAGCATGTCTGGTTCATTGTACTAAACAAGATGATCTGTAAATAACACTGGAAATATAATATATGATAAATTTCAAGGTTGATTGTTTAGGAGTCTCTATTTCTAGAAAGAGACTGTTCCGCAAATGTTTACAGGTGGTTCTCAACCTTCAAGCTGCTAAAAAGCAGCATTTTAGGGACCTCTTCTAGTTAGACACAGGTAAATGTTGAATAGGTAAAATAGCCACATGCTCCATTATATTGCCACGTTTTACATTTCTTGGCTGTAAAGGCATCACAATATAGCACTTGCGTATTTAACTCTTTTGAGGCAGTAATGTCCTAGTAGATGGATGAATTTCTAGAGGCCCCAGTTGGTCCACAAGCCCTGAGTATGTACATGCAAGGTTCCCATCCTGCAGCGCTGTGCATGCAGGTGCACTGTTATGTTGTTCCAGAAACTGCCTGGCAGCTGGATAGTCACTACTTCTGAAAATAAGTTGACTGACTTAGGCGCCATCTGTGGAATTCAACAACTTGAATCTTCCATTTTGTTCCCCATCCTGTGAAAATGTCAAATGTGAGCAAATACGCTTTGTAAGCACTGTCTAGACAAATTTCCTCAACAAACCAATATTTTCAGTATTTGAAAAACAAAAAAACCCCTAGTGATAAGAGGGCAAATTAGAGCAAGAACTAGGCAACATATATTAATACTGTTACTCTGAAATATAAACATTTTACTGACCATTGACCCATTGACAGCATCTTTGTGAACCTGAATTTAATAATGTACCCAGTGGCTCATGCAGCATATGTGCACAGGTAGCCAGAGCAATGACAAGGCCTTATCCAAAAGGCTGTCAAAGCTGATGACCACTGTCAAAGTCAGCAGCCTTTGGACGTGGGTCCATGGCAGACAGCTTTTCGTTGCAGAAGATTCAGTCACACTGAAGGAGAGACAGAGACAGTACCTGTTAACGTCACTGTTTAGTATTTTCTAGTAATTTAAAAAAAAAATAGTTTTGTTTAACTGAGCCAGGACAATAGGTAATTGTAGACATTGCGGTACCATGAATCTTGGTGATCCATTTCTTGAAGAGCTTTTGCCATTCCTATTTCAAGGCATGCTGAACAAAATAGAATGGAAACAAAGTTAGCCTTTCAAGGGCATGATATGTAATAAAATATTTACTTTTAACATGCAAAATCCATCAGTTCTTGTCAACTCTTCATTGGTAACTGGAGAGCATATCACTATATTTTGCCCCAATTTTATTTTTTAAACAGAGTGTGCAAGATGTAACACAAAGCAAAGTCTTCTGGAATTTATTTGTGGCTATTTGCTGATCTTCATTTATGTCACGTGTTTTGGTTATGCATGAATATATACAGAAAAATAATTCTGGGTGAGATTCTAGATATAAAAATGCTTAAAATTCTGTGTTTATGGTTAGTTGAACACGACCTCTTGAACAGTCTAGTAAGACCAGCAGGGAGGTGGTATCTTTAATAAATTGAGCAATACAGTAAAAAATCGTGGACGAGCTCAGTATTCAAGCCTTCTTGCAGGTCTTAAACAGGTAGGAAGCTTCAGGCTAAATATAGCTTGAGAACAGTTGCCCTGCCTTCAACCTCATTGTGCTAACCTGTTAGATGATTTAAAAGGATCATTACTATCTGTGGAACAGGTGTTGAACACTTTGTACAGGAGTTCTGTTTGTAAGTGACTTTTCGTCTTCTGTCCAGATACAATTTTTCCCTTTTAAATTGTATGAAAGCTGTGTTCTTCTTTTGTTTATTCTGATGGAGTTTTACTCCTTGAAATATTTGGCTAAGGGAGGCAAGAAGGGAAAGACTGGTTTACCAAGTGAGATTTTGGGGAGTAATGTTGCAGGTCATTCACACCATTTGTAATCTTTCCAATGAGTAAGTACTAACTATTTTGTGTGAAGATGGCTGGAAGTTGAAAGTAATTATATATCAGTGTGACTACTACATGTCTAACTGTTAGAGTATAAAGTTACTGTATTGAACAAAAGCAAATATGCCATGTGCTTTACACCCCCCCCCACACCCGCGTCTCACTTCTTGAATTGCCAATCTGCACTTGATCTTTGGTTAGCAATGGGGCAGCAAGCCTTTCAAATACTGGATAAGTACAAAAGGAAGGCTGAATATTTGGAGGAAAACCAGATTTTAAATTTACTATCCTAAAAGGAGTGTTGCATTTGCGGTTTAGGAGCTTTGAGGCTGAGAAGACCAGATAGATCTGCATTTACTGGCAAAGATTTCAAGCAAGCATGACAAGCCTTCACTAGGACACCACTATAATGAATGTGAATTGGTTGTCTCAGAATTTTGCTACCGCACGTTTTCAGTGCCCGGTGCAAAGCGTTTGAATACGGCCATGCCGGGTAATAGAAAGCAGTCAGTCCCGGCAAGCTTTGAGGGCAGAGGCCACAGGCCACAAAGGGCTTGCAAGAACCAGACTTGCAGTGTAAGAAGGAAAGCAGATTTTTGTGATAGATAAATGGCTCTGAGATTTATAGAATAATATTAAAGAATTCCAATAATTCTTATAGGTGGAGTTGGTATTTTCTGTGATTGTCGTTTTTTTAAGATTTACTGAAACAATTTCATATATTTGAAAAACACATCTGTTGGATAATTTTCACTTTAGTCTTTATCTGTATGAACCACTGCTCTGGCTGTGGTATTAACATTGACTCTGCATGTGAGAGGGTCTTAAATATTCTCTCATAAAAGGAGTAATAATTTAAAAAGCCTTGAGTATTATCTGTTTTAACCAAAGTCTATGGGTCTTTTGTCAGTATTTCACCTCTTAGTATAATCCGAAGTCCTGCTTAATGTTGTTTCAAATTTTTAGTCTTGTTTCCCACAGCACAGCAGTTAGATATTATTAGAAGTATTTAGTATAGTGTAATTTGCCTTGTAGAGAAAATTCAGATCAAAATCTTCAATTGTTATTTTGTTTGATTTAGGATGTTATGGAGTTAAATACTGGTTCCTAGGACAGAGGAATAGAAGGTGAGAAAGAAAATAAAGTCTAGTACACTGCTGTCGAAGGCAAACCAGTAAAAAAAATACTTTTGTAAGTATGTCAAGATCCCTAAAAATTAGTTGGAGTCCTGTTGCAAAAAAAGCCCTTTCTTCTTTGAAAGCTGTAAACTATATTCCAAGCTGAATTTATTCTTGGCTTGATTAAAGACATTGTTCCCTCAGCCAAAATTGTACTCTAGCTTTATTAGCTCACTAGTTCCTGAGTTTCCAACCCCCGGTGGAAAGCAACTGAGAGAAAGAAGAGCTACAAAAGGTGTTGTGAAGGACCCAACAGATTCCTCCACAATTACATAAAGATCTATATTGTGCTCATCCATGAGGCACAAGAACTCATCAGGACTGTTCCACATCCAAAAAGCTAAACTCCAATTCCATAGAAGTGATCTAAGACAGAAATATGGAAACAGCCAACAGGTCTTCATACAGATTCTGAAAGTGTTGAACTATCTGTCTCATTTTAATGAGTAATTTGGGGCTTGGTGTGTCTGAAGATCAGGTCTTCACAGTCCTTTGTTTATGTTCCTTTTCATCAGCCTGCTCGTTTTTAAAAAACAGTGGTCTAGTAGATGAAAACCTCACTTGCCCTGTGACAGGGGGTGTAATCTATCTGACACAGGACAGCTGCAGTTTTAAGCACTTAAGCCAGAGCTAATAAGATTTAATGAAATAGCACCAGTCCTAAATTGTTCTTTAGATCAATTACACAGCATGTAATTCCTTCAGTATCCAGTATTCATTTGAAATGGTTCATTAACAGCCATACTAAAGCACATTATGGCCTGTTGTGGGACTGAATGAGTTGGGTTGTAAGAAAAACTTTAATAGAAGTTGGAGTTCAGAGGGAGTTTGGAATATTATTATTCAGTTAGGACACAAATACCTTGGTGGTTTTTTTTTTAATGAAAGGCTTTGGGAGGAAGAACAACTATCAGAATTTGCTTAATTGAAAATGTTCCTAGCAATGATGTTCCATTTTTGACTGCCTGCTGCTTACTGCTAATCAAAGTCAATCTTGAGGTCATGCTGCAGATAAAAGATGGTATTGCAAATTAGAACTAACTAACAAGATGGATAGAAACCAAGAAATGATCAGGTCTTCACACGTTTCTAGACCTGGATGCCAGCAAAGTAAACAATATTGTGTTCTCTCTGGAAAGAATCCCAAACTTCACACATTTTTGTATTGTTTCATCAGGAACAGCTATTCAAGAAGCCACTGTAGTGTGTACCTCTAAATCTTATTTTGCAGGTACAAGTTGATTTGTGTGTGTGTGTATAACATTAGTGGACTTAAGGTGAGAGCTGTAATTATTGAATGCATGGAGAATACATTAACTGGCACCATGGTCTACCGAAGTATGTGCATCGTGCATTTATAGCTTCCTGTGTGGCAAGAAGGATATTCTTGAAATAATGATGCACTGAGTGCATTCTGCTAGAGATGGAGTCTGCTTACCAAGTGAACTGAGGGAACTCGAGGAGTAGATACTGAAATTATGTAGTTAATAATTCTCAGTGAATTTGGCACAAAGTGCATCCATATTTACATCTTCTAAAAAAAAAAAAAAAAAAAAGTAATAAATTAGCTTCAGGC